TGGCAGCAATGACACCGGCCTATAGTTCTTCATATCCAGGGGGTCCAGTACTAAGTACTAATAATAGCAAAATAAGAAATTATCAGCATAATTTTTCCTTCCTCCCCTTTCAAAAACTGTTATATAGGATGGCACTAAGAGAGAAAAAAACCTATCTTGAACCTGTAATGCCTAAGAAAGTTCATGCCATAATAAATGTGTTAACTTTAATGTTGGACATATACATTTTGCTTAAAACAAATAAACATTATTCCTTTTCTGGAATCTTGGGCATCAGGAAAATCTCATGCTATTTGTTATACAATACCTCAGCAATGCTGTTGTGAAAAAATTCCATAATGGATTTTCCCTTTAGCCCAGCCACATATTGGAGACATGAGGAAAATGGAAGGTGCACAGGTATCTGGTTCTCTTCAGTGATTTTCTTCAGCAAAAATTCAGATGGATACAGAGATGAGAAGGGCAAATGAGGCTTACAAAAGCTGGAAAAAGAGAATTCATATTGTCAGCAGGAAACACAAATGAAACATAAGTGAAAGCGACACAGGAAATAACCAGTACCTGTATTTCATTCAGGCTTTGTTAACTCACTTTTGCTCTTTTATATTTTTTATGTGTAGGTGTGTTGTTTAAGTTGTTTCTGACTTATGGTGATGGAGTTTTCTTAGCAGGATTTGTTCAGCTTTCTCCTGAAGCATACGATTTGTCCAAGTTCACCCAGTGGGTTTCATGGCTGAACTGGGAATCAAACCCTGGTCTCCAGAATCATAGTCCAATACTTGAATCACTAGGCCATGCTGGCTCTCACATATTTCTAAAAATGACTCATATTATCTTTATGTTCTCATAAATCTTAACTGAGATATTTTTGAGCAGAACCTGCTCCCATAGCTACAGTTTTCTTATTAAGATGGGACAGCATGGTGCAAGGAAAGCAAAAGCATTAAGCTCAAAATTGATAGACTACCTTGTTACTCTATTCTGTTCACCAGAAGCACCTGTCACCTACAAGAAGCATTCAGTGTCACTGCATGCTTTCACTAATTAGCTTTAAAATGTATATCCTCACCTTGAAGTCTGGCTGTGCCTTGTGGAGACCATCAGAGAATTTCTTGTAGGCTCTACACTGCTGGAAGCTTTGAAAATAATGATGGTTTTGATGTTTTGCAGAAGTGTCCTCAGAAGACTATAGACTCTTAGAAAATGGAATTTCTCATGAGGTAGGACAAATACTGCTGTGACCAATCTATGACCAATAAGCAATTCCAGCACATGCCCATCTGAAAATGAACCTTCCTGCTGGACAGAATGACTGGTGGGGTGCAAAAGAACTGAAGCCAGTGGAATCCTGCTCAATTTGAAAATGCTCCTTGCATTTTCAGAGTCAATGTATTTTCCTGGTAGTACATTAAAATCAACTTGAACTATATGTAGGTGCTGCGGTGTTAGAAATATCCAACAGGGATGGAACATGTAGTGGCTCTCACCAGCAAACTTATGAAACATTGAATAAAGTGCAGAATCTGCATTATGTTTAGAACAAGTTTTGTCATTAATGGCCAAGTCTGACTGGCACAAGACTTTCTGAGCATCAGCTTTATTATGGCAGAAAAGATATGCTGGAAAACAACCTTTTATTTCTGTGTTTTCAGATGAAATGTGATAAAAACCCATCAGCTGGTAAACAAATTCCTGTAAACTTGCTTTACCACAATACAGTAGAGAACTTGCTAAAGTAGGTCTGCAGCACTGAGAGCAAGACCTATGTAAACAGGAATAGAAATCTTGTAAGTTCTGAGAGTCCGAGACAACAAACAAACTTGTGTCCCCATTATTTACCTTGAGTGTCAAACATATTTCTGGTATCAAGAATCCAAATTCTGTAAGATCAGAATATGAAAAGCACTGCACTAGCTTCAGAGCAGAAAGAATATGCTGGCAGTTCCCTTTTGAATCTTGGGGAATTTCAAATACAGCTACCACACTACTAGCCAAAACCAAACAGGAAGCAAACTGCCTGAGTCCTTTATTAACCTGAATACAAAAACTCCACAGGACTTTGATTATGTCATCTTGCTCTGTTTTTGTGCTATCCAAAGTTACTGGCACAATGTCTGGAGTAGGGGTGAACTCAAACACATGGTCTCCTTCATGAAGTCCCATTTCAAAATAGCCGTCTTCTGTATCTGCACCTCTGGAATCACTCAAAAGGGTCCCTATATTTTGAGTCTGAGTTTCCATTGAAAAAGGTGTGTTTTCCACAGCCTCTGTTATCAATGCAGAGAGACGTTGCACAAAATCCTGATTTGTGGCAGTGTACGACATACAAATGAAAGGTAGAATCACAGTATTAAAGTGGTTATGCAAGGCATCAGGTTCCTCATCAGAACGGTCCAAACTTAGAAAAGAAAAAGAAAGAAAGGAGGATTATGTTAACCCAATTTAAAAATAATGAGCCTCATTTCAAAGCCTCATACTGGTATTACTTTGTACTACTGCAGCTGGGATGCAAACCCACCTTCATATTAGGTGTTTAAAACATAGGCCTAAATCCAATGCTGATCACTGAAATGAATGAACATAAGCCTGCCCATTTGTGCACTGGAATTAAGTCTATATTTTAAACCTAAAGGTATTTGTGTATCCATTTGTCTCATTTACAATCAATGCACATCCTGCACTGCGCATATCCTGATTTCTATTCGCTCTACTCTTTTGGTGGGAATTGCTTCCTGAACTTCCTGATGAACAAAGAACAAGGAGCAGGAAGTGCAGGGAGGCCCCTAACCAAATATCCATCTTAGTCATCACACACACTTAAACAAAATTATCTCTCCTCTTTAAAGAGCAAAACACTAAACATCTCTAGCAGCTACATGTTTTAAATAAATGTCTTTTTATCAGGTGAAAGGGGTATATCAAAAGAAAATATCTCTCTCACCACATATGAGGGGCATCGTCATATTCACCAGACAACTCCAATTGTGAAGCAGGTACCTTGAAAGAAAAGAATCTCATGATAGATTAGTCACAACAGGCTTGATTAGAACTTGGAGAATTACTTTTTAAAAGTAATTCATTCCCTTTAGTCATCCACTGTCTCAAAAGTAAACCAATACCATTATTTATTGGATTGTTAGAAAAATAATTCTAAGGTTTGGTTCAGTTGTTGATGCATAACTATAAAGAGATCCAGCCCCCAACAACTTCCACTGGTAATGGAGTGGATAAATTTCATGGTTTACGTATCATATAGGCTATATTTCAGATGTAGGAACTCTCTGAAACCATCTCAGGGTATTCCTTGCCTAAGAAAACCTTATGAAATTCATGCGGTCACCCTGTCAACAGGCAACATAAAGGTGCACATGTGCATGCACACACACACCACCTGATAAACAGCAGCCAGCCCTCTAGCTTGTTTCTCCCCAAGTAGGACAGAGATAAAACCCAAGGTTTCACCAATGGTTTCTTTCTCTTGCATTTTGGGTAGTTAAACAGATAGCATGCTGGTTAGATCCAACAAGCCAGGGCTCCTGCAGTTTCCTGGCTTATTACTATGCTTAAACATTACTAAATTCACTTTTGGATTAAGACATGGCAGTCAAAGGAAAAGGAAGAACATGACTAATTTTTCATTAATTATTGTACACTTTTCCTCATGCCATTCCTGCATCCATGTTTTCCGCTCTACATACAATATGGCTACTAATTCAGTAAATTTGAAATGTCACCTATCATATGAAAAGCTGTATTATATTTCCCTATCTACTCAAGACAGTCTGTGGAAATCTCACCTAACTCTCCACTGAACTAGCATTCAGCAAATATCTGATACATCTTCAAACTAAACTGGTTCATGATACTCACAAAATCCATCCTAAAAAGCACAGGCAGAATACCATTCTATTGAAATATATTATTACCTGATTTCTACTTCTTGGGTCTGATGTCTCAGAGCATCTTTGGGTAACTGTATGGCTTTTAGGAGTCGAACTACTTGATGAAAAACTGCTGGCTAGGGCTGTTTTCCTACAAGTTATTTCTAGAACAGACAGAAACGGTTCTTGAACACCACTGATGTAAAATCAAACAAATATAACTTGAAATTTAGATTACATCTAATGTGAATGGTAACTAGAGTAGACACATGTAAATAAATGGGACCTCTTAAGTCATCCCTTACATGAAGTGCCATCCATTTTATTGCATCTATTCCATTCTAGACAAGCAATTAGCCCTTACTAAGCAGTATTACCTTTCAAACAGTCCAAGGATATGATAAATCAGAGACTGCAGCATAATTTCAGTTCTATCTTGTCCACCCTATGCTTGAGATATGTAGTTAATATGTAGTAAATGATTCGCTTAACAGTAAGTCTAAACATTCCTTTTTAGCTTATTTACCATCATTTCAAGGAATATTCACAGAGAGGGCTGTGAAACTGTCAACGGAAAAAAAGATTGTCTAAATATGTTACTGAGTTGCACTTTGATGAAGGAGTGTGAAGCAACATGTGGACAAATAAAAAAGCAGCCAGATAATAACTCTGTGATAGGAGGAAAAGGTCTCTTCAGGGGAGAGTCTGATAAGACATCAGCTGGTGACAGCTAATAGAGACTGTGTGGAGTAAATGTGTATGGCTGATGCTGAATGAATGAAGGGAAGGAGGTCTTATAATTCCTGCCTTGAACTCTGTTATCTGTTGTAACTACACAATGGAACTGGTTATAGCATCAAATAGTCTGCATCATTTAATAAACAAAGCTGAACTGTTTGCTAATCTGTTAAACCAGTCTCAGATTGGCTTCCTTCATCCTGATTCAAGGGTTGGATTTTGGAAGAGAAGGGTGAGAGTGGCAAGCTATTAAGGCTAGGAACTGTGGGTCCAGCCTTGGCTAGGACAATGTCACAATAATTTTGGTGCCAAGTGGTGGGATCTGACTGAAAAGGATCTGAGTTTGTGAGGATATATGAGAACAAGATAGAATGGGTGATCCAGTAAGGAGATCTATTTTGTTGAGGGGGAAAAAAGCCACACTAGTGTGTGGACAGTTAAGAGGAACTGGACCAGCAATGGTGTGGTACAGATCGACAAGGGTAATCCCTGAGGATCTTTCCACACCCCCAGGGGGGAGGGTAAATTACCCATTTTGGGAATCATTGATCTAAAACAACTACAAGGGGAAACACATATCTTTTAACTCTGCTGGACTAAGTGACTAAGTACCTAGAAGCAGTTGCTTTATCAATCATTGAAGCAACTGCTGTGGCTGATGCTTTGGTAAACCTGTTTTGCAGACTAGGATTTCCTAGTGAAATTCTCTCTGATTTGGGAACATACTTTACCTTGATGGTGACAAAGAGACAGTGGGAAGTGAGTGGCATCAAGCATCTCACTTCTGCATCTTACTATCCTGATACTAGTGGGTTATAATAGAGAGATTTAATGGAACACTGTGTAAAATGCTAAAACTGTATGTGGCTGAGAATCAGAATGATTGGGATGTGAAATTAAAACATCTCCTGCTTGCCTATTAATAAGTGCTCTAAGAAAGTTTAGGATTTAGCCCCTTTTAACTGTTATTCAGGAGGAAGGGGCGAGAACTTTTGGATTTAGTCAAGCAAGGCTGGGAAGGAGAAGCAGATCAAGCACAAGAAGCAATAATGATGAATGCAGAAAATCTTCAAACATTGTTAAGAAGGCTATGTGCATGGCTGGAGAGAATCTTCAAAAAAGTCAGATGAAACAAAAGAACTGGAAAGACCAGAAGTCAAGAGTGTGCGTTTATGAACCTGTT